GATAAATTGTTATTTTACATCCCTATTCCTATAATTTTGAGTACCTGAATATTTTTTAAAGATAATAACTTATGTCCATAATATTTAGCTGAAAAAATAATTATTGATTTTTTATATAAAGGTTGAGTTAGAACTCAATTTTTGTATAAATTAAAATGTTCATATATAAATAAAGATATTCTATATCATTAAAAAATAAAGCAATAGCATATTTTACCTCTATTACTATCCATTCTAAATTTACACAAAGCCTGAGCTTCTATTTTGCAATAATACATAAGATACTTTTATCGATTTTGCAGAATATAACTTTAAATTAGAGTAATACAAATTCATTTTTAAAAATAAAAAAAAATGCAGGGCTCTTTATAATCGAAGGAAGCTGTAACTGACATCTTTGATTAAATAAAAGATGTAGACATATAAATCTTCAGGTTCATATTAGAAATATTAAGAAAGGAAAAAGTGTAAGACCGCATAGGATTTCTATCAGACATTAGGAATCAAAGACAATTAGAATCATAAATTTTTCAACAATTTGGGAATTTTACCCAAGCTGATACAATATAGAAATTGCTTATTTTGAGAAAAGACTTGAAATAAATTACAATTGTATTAGAAAAATTAACAGATCATGACTTCAATAAAAAAGACTTATCTAGTGATGAAAATTAAGAATCTACATAAAGTCTAGTTAATAGTATAAAGGATAATAAATAGATCATCGAATTTTTCTAATTTTTAGTTTTGCTCACATCCATAGATAACACTTTAATTTAAAGCGGATCAAATTCATTACACTTATTGGTTCAGATGAGAGTAGACCTTAGCAACAAAAATTTTGAAAAAATTAAAATCTAAAATACTTCTTTAGTAGGAGCTAATTTTGTAAGGTGTAATTTTAGTGAATCTTAATTTAATAATGTCAATATAAGTGGAATAAATATTAACGGTTCGATATTATTCGATTGTTAATGGAAAAACATGAAAATTCATGAGTTGAATAAATTGGATGGTCATAGTGGAAGTGTGAGATCAGCCTGTTTTTCTCCTGATGGAAATTAAATAAAAATAATGATTTATTCAAATAAATTACTTTGATGAGAAAAAACTACAATAAAAAGTTGAATGAAATCAGTGAGAAATTAATATTAGAATAGTTATTATCAATTGAAGGAAGCAAAGATACCAAAAAAATAAAGAAAGTAACAATTTAAGCTGTAGAAGATGAATAATTGTTAAAAGATTCAAAATAATTAATTGAAAAATAAAAAGTGACTCAAAACTAATCAATAACAATTTAAAAATCAAGAATCAATATTTAAAAAAGAAATTGAGAATCATTTAGAATCATTTAAATATTACTATCAATAAGATGTACAATAATCATTAGATATTCTCAAAGAAATATCAAGTATTAATTTATAAATCTTAATTAGATGAAAGAAATCTAATTTTATAATGATCAGAATTCATTTAATAATTTTCTAAATGGACTTCAAAAAGGATGAAAATTATCAAGACTCGATTTATATTATTAATGAAATCTAGGAATTGATGGATTAGATCAAAGATTATTAAAGCTAATTGAACCTATTTGATTAGACTGTAACTTTATATTAATAGCATACTAATAAGATAGATTAGATTTAATAAAAAATTAAAAATTTGACTTAAGATTAACTAAATAAATCAGAATTAATAAATGCTCCATATTAAAATCTATCTAATTTCTTGAGTGATTATGCTATTACTATGGATAATAAGAGTAAATAAATGAAAAAATATTGTAATATATAAAAATTGGAGATAGAATTTATCAAAGTAACAGATATGAATAAAAATTTGGAAGTTGAGAGTGAATCAAATCTCTTGAATTAAATGTCAATGTCGTTAGATTAAAAATATAAAGAACATTAGGAAGTTATGATAAAATTAAAAGACGAAAGTATTTGAAAATTCATAGTTTTATATTAGCAACAAATCAATGAAATAAGTTCATAATTCTAATAAAAAGAAGAAGAAAATTTTTAGTTCAAAAATTATGAGAATAAAAACAGAAGAAATAATAAATCTTAAAAAGTAGAATGAGGAAAATAAATTAAAAACTATCACAAATTCAGAAAATAAAAGTATATATTTGTTTAGAACTGCATAGAAAACACAGAAATCATTGAAATAAATAAAAGACTGAATCAAAAGAATTCAGAATTATAAATTATTTAAAGACAACTTGATTATTTTAATCAAGTATATTCTAAATAATACTAATCCGACAATTAATAATTTTCAAAAACATTATTATTTTCAAAAACTTACAATCATAGTAGTTTTTAAATCAGTGAAGGTGGAAAAGTTGTTGAATCTATGGGGGTTAATTATTATAGTTGTCTTTTGTGACTAAGCCATTCCAAAGACTGGAAAAATACAAATTGCATTCTAAATGCTTAATATAAAAAGTATTGCTTTCATTGGAATTGGATTTAGAGATTTTATATAAAAAACAATTATACCGGTTATGGAAATGATGGGTATTAAATAAATTGAGCCATATCAGACAGCATCCAACAAGTAATGACAATATGCTTGTTCTCATCATAATAAATAACTAGATGGAAAACCATAATCAAAATTAAGGATATAGAACAACAATTCTTAAGAAATAGTTGTAAGCATCAAATCTATAATTAGTAGTGGGAATTAGACATCTATATCATAAGAATGATATCCTTGTGTTTGTGTTTATAATTCCAAAGTAAAAATATTGGATAATATTCCCATTTGATTATGGAGAATTGATATTAAATTTAAAATTATAACAAATAATTTTTAAACAAAGCTTTATTTATTTTCTTTTGTTCATTAAGTATTAAATAATAACTTTCTCTGATAGAAATAAAAATGCGATATTTCCCATACTGATCACAAAATAATATAGTGATGTCTTATAATACCATAATAAAAAGAATTGTCTGAAATTCATAACTATTCTAATGTTAATCGAAAAAGTATAAAGCTAACTAAGCAGTGGCTTGCAATCAGATTATAAAAACCTAATTTTATACTATCAAGTGTTAAAGATTATTTTTAATTAGTAGTGGTAGAACCAAAAAAATAGCGACAACCAAAACA